GACGACGGCAGCCACCACGGCGCGCACGGCGACGACCCGCCCCAGGCGCGCGAGGCGACGTCGTCCGGGCCCGGGGCGTAAGAACGGCACGGCGAAGACGCTCGGTATTTGAACCGCCGCGCGCGCCTACACCGTCCAGGGAAGGCGATGCATATGGAGGCTATGGGCCCACATTTCCGGCATATTACCTGCAACTACAACTTCATCTCGCTGGAAGCAGCCGCGATGGCCGACGCGAACGCGCCGATGCAAACGGAGACCGACGCGAACGCGCCGCCGCCGCGGCCGCCGACGCCGCCGCCGCCGGACCCCGCGCTCGTCGCGGCGGCCGCGAAGCTGCTCGCGGCCTTTGGTCCGCCGCCGTCGGCGGGCCCGCCGACGGAGGCCGCCGCCGCCGCGCGCGAGGCCGCCGGCGCGGAACTGCTGGCCATGAGCCTCGACGGCGACCCGGCGCGCGAGGAGGCCCCGGGCGGCGCCGCGGCGGTCGCGGCGGCCGGCGGCGCCGACGTCGCGGGCGCGGTCGTGCGCGCCGAGGGGTCCGCGCCCCGGGGCGGCTCGCCGGAGCTCCGCCGGCAGGCCATGGCCCTCCTGGCGAACCTCTGCGACCGCGGCGAGCGCGAGGCCGTGCTCGTCAGCACCAAGTGCCTCGTGGCCGTGTCCGGCGCCTTCTGCATGGACGGCGCGGCCGAGGCGACGCACGACGCGGCCGCTGTGCTCTGCCACGCCGCCAAGCGCGAGGTCTGGGGGCCCATGTTCGACATGCCGTTGGTCGCCGAGCGCCTCGGCTGGATCCTCTTCGAGCTCTGCTGCGCCATGGACGGGCCCGAGGTCAAGCGCACGGACGCGGAGGACTTGCTGGTCAAGAAGTGCTTCGAGCTTTTGTGGCGGCTCCGCTTCCACCGCGGCTCGAAGATCTTCGCCAACTGCTGCGAGCTCGTCACGCGCAAGTGCGTGCTCACGGCGGCCATCTCCTACATCTACGACCCGCGCGCGCAGGAGCGCCGCGACGTCCGCCACCCGCGCGACGGGCCGGTCCGCGACGCGCGGCCGAGCGGCCTGGACTGCTGCCTCCGGGCCCTCGAGGGCATGAGCATCTACGACGCCACGCTGAACAACGCCAAGGGCGCGTCGCGGTTGAGCCGCGCGGCCGACGCGGCGCGCGCGCTCAAGGCCACCGGCGACCTCCGCGGCAACGAGAAGATCTCGTGCGAGATCGCCATCCACACGGCGCTCCAGTCCGAGGACGCGTCGGGCTTCCGCAACAACGCCCCGAAGCGGCCCCGCGCGCCGCCCGCGCCGCCGTCGAAGCGGGCCACGCGGTCCTCGGCCGCGGGCGACGACGACGCCGCGCCGCCGGCCGGGGCGCCGCCGGGGGCGCCGCCCGCGGACAACGGCGTCGCGGCGATGCTCATGGACGACTAGGTGGGGTAATGTCCGGGGCCGGCTTTATTGTGGGAAGAGGAAGTCGTGCGCCCGGCGAGTGGCTGGTGACACTTGCGCGATTGACCGGTCATACGACACGTATTCCAAGTCGGGGCAGCCCCGCGCGAGCGCATCGGCCGCCTCGTCTGTCAACGCGCATGGCGTATTCTCGACGTTGAGCGTAACAAGATTCGGCAGGCTTGCTGCGATGGCGAGTACTGATGCCACGGTGACACCGGTCCCAATCAGGTTGATTTCCAACTCCCCAGCGCCGAGGGACATTGGGACTTTCCTCCATTTCGACAGCATCGCGGTCACGCCGGCGTCCGTTACGTGCGGGCATCGATGAATGTAAACCTTCCGTAGGGGACATTCGCTCGAACCGAGGGCAACGAGAGCAGCACTAGTGATGGACGTCTTCGCCAAGTAGAGCACATCTAACCTGGGGCAGCCACGCGCGAGCGCGATGGCGGATTCGTCAGTGACGGACGTATTCTCCAAGGCGAGTAGCCTAATGTTCGGACAGCGCTGCGCAAGCGTAAGGACCGACTCGTCAGTAACGGCGGACCCGGTCAGGGACAAGCAAATGATATTCGGGCAATTTATTGCGACCGCAGACACCGTGGCATCCGCGATTCGCGTATTGCTCAAAATAAGTGCTTTTAGTGCATTGCAGCGCAGTGTCAACGGCGCCATTCCCGAGTCCGAAATCCCCGGGCAACCATGCAAATTTAGGTTCTCCAGCTTTGGCAAATTGATCGAATGCAATGCACTGTCTGCGAGATTCGATTGTCCGTCCAAAGATAACCACACGAGGTTCGTATGCACTCGCGCCACGGCCGCGATGGCAGAACCAGTGAGCTGTCCATGACGGATTTCGAGTGACCGCAGGCTGGCGGAGTACGCCGTAATCGCTGACATGACTTCGTCACAGACAAGGTCACGCGACTGCAACGTTATCTCCTGCAGATTGGTGCAGCGACGGATGATTGCGACGACGTGGCTGTAGTGGATGTCCCAACCGTCTTCTGGATCTTGTAGGTCTCGGACTCGAGCGCACACTTTGTTTAGGAAGGTGGGGTTGGTCAGCGCCAACCGCATCGACTCCCAAGCTGTTCCACGATGGCGTCCTGGGCCGCGTCGAAGGCGCGCGCGAAGCGCGCGAAGCGCCGCCTGGACAGCTCTGCCAAGCCCGCCGCGTATAGCGCGTGGAGCTCCGCGTCAGAAAGCGCCCTCACGTCGCGAGCAGCCCGGCGAGCAGCGGGCCAGTCCATCGAGCAGCTCTTTACTACACAGTATAGATCTGTTCAAGGACGAGCTCGTAAAAGGCTGCCCAATGGACACGCGTGCCTCCGCCTTGGCCGCCGCCGGCGGCGCGGCGCTCGGCGGCCTCGCGGTCTACGTCCTGTCGCGGCGGCGCGACGACGGCCCGCCCCCGGCGCCGGCGCCGCGCCAGACCTTCCGCCACTTCCCCGTGCGCGGCCCGCTCCAGCGGTCCTACTCCCTCGCGGCGACGAGCCTCGGCGAGGACGCGACGGTGCGCGTCGTCTGCTACGGCGACAGCAACACCTGGGGCTTCGACGCCTTCTCGCCCGCCGCGGCGCGCGAGGGCGTGCTCTGCCGCTTCTGCGAGGGCGGCCGGTGGCCGCGCGTCGCCGAGAAGCTGCTGGGCCCCGGCTACGCGGTCGTCGAGGAGGGCCTCAACGGGCGGACGACGGTGCACCCGGACCCGCTCATGGGCGACTACGACGCCAACGGCCGCGCGACGCTCGCGGCGATCCTCCACTCGCACAAGCCCTTCGACGTCGTCGTGCTCATGCTCGGCACGAACGACCTGAAGACGCACCTGGCCCTGACGCCGGAGCAGATCGCCAAGGGCGCGTCGACGCTCGTCGTCAAGATGGGCGTCACGCGCAGCGCCGAGCGGCCCAAGGTGCTCCTCGTCGCGCCGCCCAAGGTCTGGGACAAGCCCGAGTGGGGCTTCGCGGGCGCGCGGTCGCGGAGCGACGCGTGCCGCGCGTGCTACGCGGCCGAGGCCGAGGCCCACGGCTGCGCGTTCCTCGACGCCAACGACGTCTTCGCCATCCCCGACCCGGCCAAAGAGGGCGGCGACGGCATCCACCTGTCGCCCGCGAACGCCAAAGCGCTCGGCGCGGCCGTCGCCGCGAAGATCGAGTCCATGATGGCCTAAAAGTTTTAGAAGCCGCACGCCTTCGGGATGGCGCCGGGGATGGACCCGGAGAGGCCGTCGCGCTTGCGGATGAGGCGCAGCATGACGTCGGGCCGCGTGCAGTTGGGCGTGTCCGCGCCCTTGCGCTTCGGCCGGCAATTCGCGTCGGGCTCGCCCATGTGGGGCTTGAGCTCCTTGCCCATGCCGCTCGCGCGCACGAAGATCTCCGCGACGCGCGTCCGGTTCTGGTTGACGATGGTCTTGCACTCCTGGAACTCGCGCCACGCGCGCTTGAGCGCCTGGGCAGCAAAAGGGTGATTCAACGTCGCTTCAACGTGAGTGTTCCGCGCGCGCGCGTTCCGGAAAAAGCATCCACGCTTCGAGACCGTTCCGAGAGATGATCGCTCGTCCAAGAATTAGCCGAAACGAGTGGAAAATGGCCGAGATAGGAGCCTTTGAAGTTGGGAATTTCGCTCTCTTTTGCTGCCCTGTTGAGCGCGGCGACGGCGACGGACCCCGGCAGCAAAAAGAGCCAGTCGCGCGCGGAGCAGGCCTTCTCCAGGTCGTAGGCGCACCATCTCGGCATGGGCGACGTGAAGGTCACGTCGGGCCGCGACTTGATAACGAGATCGAAAGCCGTGCCGGTTTCCGCCGTGTAGTTGCTGATCGCTTCGCCGCACCAGTACTCGTTGTAGATCTGGCCGATGAGCATCTGGAACGTCTCCTCCGTGCGCCAGGCGTCGCCCGTGCTGTTGTCGCGCACGAACTCGCCGCCGCCGCAGCGGTCCGGGTTCGTGAATCGGACGTGGTGCGTGAGCACCTCCATGGCCGCGAGGTTCGGAAGTTTTCGCCCCCACTCGGCGACGTGCGACGCGTTCTGGTGAGTGCTGTGGATGCCCGTGCGCTGGTTCTCCTCGAAGGTCGCGCCCTTGGTGCTCTGGTCGTGGAGCTTGAGGTAGAGGAACGTCGTGAAGTTGGCGCCGAAGGCGCCGCGGTAGAGGTGGCGCAGCAGGCCGTCCTGCACGGCGGCGCTCGCGAAGGTGCGCGCGTGGCCCGCGAGGCACACGGCGACGTTCGGATTCGCGCGCGCCGGGTGCGCGCGGGGGCAGCCGCCCGGGGCCGAGGCTTTGGACGCGGCGAGCAGCAGGGCGACCAGCAAACGTGGACGCTGCCCGCGCCGCATCATCGTATGCGCGCGATCGCAGAGTTTTACGAGAAGTTCAAGAACCAGAGTCTTGTTTTTGCCTCAGTCTGGGGGGCGGGAGCCGCGGCGCGTGGAGACGATGCCCGCGACGTCGGCGCGCGCGTTCGAGCGCGTCCTCGACGCCGTGCAGGACGTGCTCGCGAAGCAGCTCGGCTTCTGGCAGATGATGCGCCTCGCTCAGACCAGCCCGACCTTCCTGAGCAGGGTCTGCGGTCGCGCGCGCGATTTGTCTAGTCTACATGAATTCCATTCGGACATTCGCAAGATCGAGGTTCGCCAGCTTGTCGCGCTCCTTCGACGATGCGCCGGTCTTCGCACTGTTTACATGTGCGGATGGAACGTGGGCAAATTTGTTTGTGACGAAGTCATGTATGCGCTCGCGGCGTACTGCACGAGCCTGCGGTCGCTTACAATGGACGACGGCGAGATAACCGACTGCGCCGTCGCGACCGTAGCACGAGTGCACACGGACCTCGTGGAGCTAAACTTGTTTGGACAGGAACAACTCACAGACGGCGCCTTGCATGCGATTGCGCAGCACCTGCCGAAGCTCGAGAACCTAAATTTGGGAACTTGCAAGGGGATCTCGGACTCGGGAGTCGTGGCGCTGGCGACGCGCTGCACCGCGCTAAAAGATCTCTCTCTGGGCGGTACTCGCGTCGCGGACGCTGCCGTGTCCGCGGTCGCGATGAACTGTCCGTTACTCGAAGACTTGAACTTGTGGGACTGCGACGGCGTCACCGACGAATCCATCATCACGCTCGTTGAGCGATGCCCCAAGATCAACTATCTACAGCTGCAAGGCACGTCGATCACATGTGCTGCTCTCGTTGCGCTGGCGGCCGGTGAGTGTCCGCTTCATGACTTGGGGATTGAGGGTTGTTCACATGTGTCCGACGCTGGTGTGATCGCGATGGTACCGAAATGGAGGACAGTCGAGCCGTTGGATCTCGACTTCAACAGCACTGGCGTCACCGTGGCTTCGATGCTCGAGGTCGCGAAGCTTCCAAATCTGCTTAGCCTCGACGTATCGAAAACGCCTTGTGCGTTCACAGACGAAGCGCTTCTCGCTTTTTCGCACTGTTCCGCGTTGACGCACTTGTATTTT